CCTGATGCCAAAAAAAAAAAAATACATCTTGAAGGCGGGGATGGAGTTAGCTGCCTCGGCCGACCGTGACCTGGACAAGGAGGAGACAGTGATAAATGACAGCGATGGTCTGGTGGTCTGAGTGGACTGAAAGAAAAAAAAACATCCTGAAGACGGGGATGGAGTTAGCTGCCTCGGCCGACCGTGACCTGGACAAGGAGGAGACAGTGATAAATGACAGCGATGGTCTGGTGGTCTGAGTGGACTGAAAACCATCATTGGTGTGATAATCGTATGCTGTACTACAGCTGCCTTTTTAAAAATTAACTCCCCTTAAGCCACTTCTTCAAGTCAGAGTTTGCGGCAAATGACAATTTAGTTCAACTAGTAAGCAGGACTAGCAAGGTAGGACTGTTATCCTGGACTCTTTCAAACTCATACATTCATAATAAGTTACAGGACAGGATTCCGTCGTTTGATTGCAGTTTTATTCAGTCTCAATACAAGCACAGGGTTTGACATTGAAGTGGGTTTTGATAGTGCGTCGATAGATCGGTCTCTCCCTCTCAAGCAGCCTTCCCTTTAGAGTTGGACTGGTAGCTGCATTGACAAGGGAATGTGAACACGAAAATGGTGAATTACAGGAATTTAGTACCTTGCAATAATGTATTATATGAACTTTAACCTTCATTGATACAGGTACATAAACCTGAGACAAGCCAAGCATTAAATTAATTTCGGGTCGAAGAGATCAGTCTGGTTTGAAGCTCTTTAACTGAAAAAATAACTCCCAAACTAATTCATTTTAAGCCCTATATAAACCACTTTATATGCCCCATGATAATAGGAGTGTTTTTGCTTTACTCACCCCAGATTATGTTTTTGAACCCTGAAAAACCTGTTATTTTCTGCAGTTCGCTGGCATATGTGATTGCGAGCGATACGATGGGCTTGCTGAAGCGCCGCGTAGGGCTGCATGGCGCACACAAACCATGCCCTCAGCCGTACATGAAGTGCATTCCTACCACATGAAAATGTGCGGTCGCAACACAACATTTGTCGAAAAATTTGTAACACCTGTACGCTTTTTTGTTTTATTGAAGTTTTGATTTGATTTTGTTCCAGTATAAAATCTTTAATCTGCCCTTGTGGTTATTCCGCAAGTCATGGACAACAATCCCACCGTCATTAAGACAAAGTCCAAAATTGATTTGACGATACGCGACGTTAGATGAACTTTATTGACACCTGTGCCAATGGGGCTGCTGCTGTGAGACTGCGTCGATAAACGATTTTATTTTCTTCAGTCCATAGCCATTTGTGACCAGTCGGGTTTCCTTTATACCACCTCACCCGACAAGTACGGTCCTGGCAAATAACGTCCTTTCCCCCAACTATCCAACGTTTCGTAACGCCTCACTTGCTTGATTTCCCAGTGCCATATCTTCCTTTCTAGCGCCCTCTTGTGGCCAATGTGACTTTTGTTAATTTTTTTTTTGTAGCTTGTAGCGACCCCTCTACAATGACAGGTGCATGAAATATGCATATAAATGAACTGGTTCGCGCCCGCCTGCTGCACATTGTTATAGATAACAGAGGCCGCATTCTCACATTGCGCAATGGGAAGTTCTCTGAGAGGCAGGTCGTTACTGTCGGTTGATTTTCAAATCCTCTTTGCTTGCAGCAACACGCATATTTGGAGTATCTGCCGATTCTAACTCCTAATAATGATTTGCATTTTCTTTCGGCAACTTGTACCTTGAATTGAACCCACTGTTGCCGGGAGGCCTTCGAGCCAATATATTGCTGGGCAGGAACGCAGACGATCCTTGGGTAGCAGATATATTTTGATTTAATTCCTCTTTAGTTTAATGAGTACTTTTATGCCATTAGAGTGAACATTTGAGTATGAGGTAAATCTTTACTTCGCCACCATTTATTTTGAACATATTTGTAAGCCCCAGTAGGATTTTATGTCATTTCAGATCTGGCGTGGTGATGGAGTTCAGTTCATTCCTTTTGAGAATCGGTCATTTATAGATTATTTTACCCCTTTAATTACAAGTGCATTTACTTGTCACTTTTATAGCTTCATTCACTCGTTCATTACAAATTCATTTATAGATTTGGTTATTTGTTAATTGATTTGATCATTTATCAGTAAACAACTTAATGTCTTAACCATTTTGTTACTTTAATTTGTTCCTCTTTCAAACCATATTTGGAACTGTACGTTTAGAACTTTTCTCTTGTGTATAGTTCAGACAGTTATGAATCAGATGTATTTCATTTTGAACATCCACTTATATAGAACTTTATAACTTTAATTTAACAAACACTTACGAACATAACTCAGTTTCCTCACCCGACTCCTAGTTAAAGTGGTAACCGTTCGGTTGTGCGGCGAGTGGCTTTGGTTAGTTAAAATTTGGCCTGTGCCCTTTCCCCCTCGCCCGGTTACACATTTACTTCATCACAAATTTTGAATCCTATCCCGTAGCGCATTCTGACCTGTATCCACCGCCGCTTGTCCTTCTCGCCCCTGGCGTGGACTCTGAAATGGATAAATCGGTGGCAAAATCTGTGCCAGACGCTGGGGGGGGGACATGGATGGCTTTATGTAAAAATCTTTCCTGGCCCTGAAAATCCCAAAACGGATGGGG